TTTACTATGATTAATCTCATTAATTGTAAGGAGAAACAAGTTGATTTTGTTAGATTATTTGACAAATAAAAAATGCAGCTAAGAAGTAATTATAATTTAATGTAATTCTCTTAATTATAAAATTTGAATTTTCATATTTAAATTTAGGTATTAACACATACGGGTTGATATGCCGCTAAAGAAAAACAAACAAACAATGTAAGAATCGAAAAATATTGATCGTTTTTCATCACTGTTGGCCCTTTTCATAATAATATAATATAAATACAGTGTCAAACTGATCCCGTAATTCTTAAACTGTTATGTGTTTTTTGTTTTTATTTACAAATGTCAAGTTTGAAACTGAATTTACGTCATTTATAACTGTGGGCTATTAAGTATAAGAAAAGGGACATCATTATTAGTACACCGTTATCAACTGAAACTTTTTTCTGATTCTAAGTATAAGCATTTTTTGTTTCCATTTTCCTTAAAAATGCTAAAGAGAAAAATATCAGTATATTTATTAAGATTAAAAAAAATGTAAAACGTCTTCAGCCTTGGAGGACGGCCTCTGAAGCGACTGAATGTCTGGATCTGTTGGCTGTCGTCTACGGCATTTTTTGGGTCATTGAAATTAAACTTGAATACTGATGACCAGTTTCGAAACATAGTAATTTCTGTGTAGCGGTGGAATCATATTTTTAAAAAATAATTATAATTTAAGATCTACTTCTCTATCGAGCACTGTTTTTTTTTTTTTGTTTTTTTTAAAATAAAAACAGAAATACTAAAGAACTTCGGATCATCAATCTAACTTCTTTCTTATTATATATATATATATATATATATATATATATATATATATATATATATATATATATAGTTATCGTATAAGTAACGTTATGCCCTCCCCCACCCACAAAAAAAACTGTCAAGATATAGCTAACAAAATCTTTGTCTACGACACTGATAATATTGGTAATGACCGACATGATTGAAAGTACTAAAACAAAACAAGCATAAGCGTGGACTTTTTATCCACAGTTTTGATCCGGGTGTCCAGCAAATTATTTGAAAATAATATTGATTTTCAGGGAATGATATGACCTAGATTGTTGGGATAAAATGCAGTAATATGGTGTAATGAAATTATAATGAAGTTGTAGTGTAATAATAGGAATAATAAAGAGTAAAGTGGCCCATAGGGCTATGACAAAAAGCAGAAATAATGACATCGATTAAAACTAATAATAAAATAATTGTAAAAATAGACAGTAGACTTGAGGCAACAGAAATGTAGTTCTACAGAAGGATGCTGAGAATACAATGCACTGAACATGTGAACAACAACGATGTTTTAGCAAAAATGGGAACAAAAAGGAGACACATATTTGTTGTGGTAGGATCCACCTAATTTGCATAGTGGAGTACCGACCATATAAATATGGTTGGTACCGGGAATAGAGAGGGGAATCAAGAGATTCAATCCAGAGACTCTGCCCGACTGCGACTCAGTCAACACATTCTCCAGGAACGGTCTTACCAGGAATATACAAAAGACTATATGTAAATATTGTGTACACTTTCTTGTTTCAATACATTTTGTTCTAAGTACATTTTGTCTTGCATTATTATTCCATGCATTAGTCAAGTTTCAACAATATTACACATCAGAAAGACACAGTAGAAATGTATGGGGTAAATACTAATGAAAGGAGGTTTAGAAAATTCACATACGCACAATATATTGAAAGCAACAGAGACAGAGGAAAGCGGCACATAAACTACCTAACGAGCTTTTGTAAATGATCATCCATGAGTAATACGGCACACAGAAGAAAAAGAATGAAAAAATGTATCAGTTCAAAGTTTTATAATAAATGCGACAATAAAAAGATACCTCCCTTTGATATTTTTTTTTACTACAACATAAAGTCAGTTTACGAACCAGTAACAAACTTTTACCAAACAATTTTGTTATGCTTTTGAATAGCTTGATTTATTTGGGAAAGATATTACAATAATCCAGAACTTATAATGGAAACAATCCGCCTGCATACGGATAGAAGATAAATTCAGCAGATATACAAAAATAGAACGGAGACAAGGTTGTTTCATAACACTCGCTATATTCAACTTTTACAGTGGGTGTTAGGGAATCATGGAAGAATTAGAAGTCCTAGCACGATTCATTATAGGTGGACACTGTCTTGGCAACATAAGATATATAGATGACACATTGATGATAGAAGACACTGAAAGAAAAAAAGAACTCTTATAGAAGGTACTAAAGGAAAGCAAGAAGAAAGGACTAAACATCAATTGTATCGATTATTGAACAATAATGGGAAGTGTATCAACCTAGCGTGGCGTGTTGTGGTAAAATGCAACAATAATAAGAAAGAGTAAAAATTGTAATAAAATAGTAGTAATAATAAAGAGCGTATCGATCAAGAGTTGTGACAAAAGGCAAGAATAATTAAATAGATGAAGACAAGTAATAAAATATGAATAATAGTAAAAAGAACATAGAATATATAGTGTTGAAGTAAAAAGCAATAACAATAAGGTTAAGTACGTAATATATATGGTGTTTCTGTTTATTTTTACCTTCTTTGCTTTTTCTAAATACTCTAAACATACTTTATAGTTGCTTAGTTCTAAAGCCTTTATAATTGTTTATACGCGTCTGTTACGATAATGATCTTATTTTCTGTTCTTACGTCAAAGATTTAGTCCGTTTTATTTTCCTTTCCAATTATTCATTTGTTTGAGATTTTCTCCTAGAAATTTCTCTCTCTATCTCCTCTCTTTCTCTCTCTATTTATATATATATATATATATATATATATATATATATATATATATATATATATATATATATATATTATTATTATTATTATTATTATTAATAAAATCTTATAAGTATAAAAACTATACTCGCTCGGAAAACATTCGTTGTATTGATTTGCAAATAAACAAGCCAATACCAAAGGAAAAAAATGTATATAAAAAAAGAAAGAACCAAGAACATGTACGTTAGCCGAAAATAATAGTTCAGTATACGAGTTCAAGGTCCAAAGAAAAAACCCGATGCGAGTATCGAAAATAACTAAATAAAGTGCTCAATACAATGAGTAGAGCAGACCTAGTTAAACCTAGAGATACAGACAAAACCTAACAAGGTTTCACCCAAGTGGATCATCAGGGAATTCCCTGACGATCCGCTTAGGTGAAACCTTGGTAGGTTTGTCTGGCTCTCTAGGTTTAACACTCTCCTCTCTCCCTCCCTCCTCTCTCTCTCTCTCTCTCTCTCTATATATATATATATATATATATATATATATATATATATAAATAAATATACATATTATCCCACACCGATAGCACAATGCAATCTTCAGGTGCTGAGTATAGACTGTACGTTACGTAAAAAAATATTTGGTTATGCCAATGATGGTACAGTTATATATTATACTGGGATTACAGTTCTTTAATCTCAAAAATTATATTTTCATTTAAAATAAGCATGACTTGTGTATGTATATATATATATATATATATATATATATATATATGTGTGTGTGTGTGTGTGTGTATGTGTGTGTGTATGTGTGCGTGTGTGTGTGTGTGTGTGTGTAAAATTATTTTACAGTTGTGAATATCATTTTTTATTTTTCATATTAAACATAAAGGGGGATTAATTTACATTAAAATTATTCTGGATCAACGTATTCAAGCAGATATTTATTTTTATGCCTACATGTAACCATCAATTCATTTCTCTTGTTTAATAAGCTAGTGTTAAGTATTTTAAGATAACAAATTTTCAAAAAGGCATAAGTTACATCTATTTCTTTTTCTGTTATGTGATTTTCCTCTTGCTACAATATTCCACTTGATAAAATGTTTATTATCATCATTCTTTAATTTTTTAAAAATCGGTATCACCCCAAGCAAGGCTGTACAGCCACTGAGATGCAAGGGGTTACAAGGTGTGGAGGAATTAAGAACCGAAACATTGGTAATGAGTTGAGATAGAAAAGACTAATCAGGAGGACAGTAGATAGCTATTGAGATTGCATTTAATTTTTTACAGATTAAAGTTCGCTGGAAAGCATGGAGCCGGAAGGGAGTTCCATAAGAGAGAAGTGCGGGATAAGAAACTGTTAGCATAGAAGTTACGGCTACATCTAACTAGCTCAACTGTAAATTGATGAGCCAGTCCAGTATTGCGCTCAAATTCATACTGTCTAGGTACCACAGTGAAGAGCTCATCTCAACAATTACCATGAAAGTATTTATAAAAAAGACACAGAGAGGCAACCTTACAGCGGTGGGCTTTGCCAGAAATGTTTAGAGAGAGCCTAAAGTTATTCGATGATGGCAGAAACGAAATTTTCAATGGTTTTCAGTGGAACGAAAATAAAATCAGACATCGTTACCGGAATTGGTTCTCAAACTATTTTGCCCAATTCACTCTTTACACTATAAGTATTATGGGATCTTACCTATAATAATAATGATGGACTATTCGATACTTAATAAATACTCAGCAGTAGTTCAAGTCCAGTCAGTAGTTCAAGTCGAGTCAAGAGTCGAGTCAGAGGCAGTCTGAAACAGAGTCGCGTTCAGACAATTACTGCAAGACATTGGAATAGTGATACTGGTCGCGACAACATTGTTCTCTCTACTAAACCTGATTGTTCGTACTAACACTTTCTACTTCTCTGTATATATTCCTGTTTGTAATATATCTGTGTTATTCCATACCTGCGTTCGAGTCCTTCTTTATTGGTTCTACCTTGGACTATCACCATGGTACAAGGAATCGGACCATAACAATAAGTCAGGATGTCATCACCGCCCCCCCCCACTTTCCAAAAGGTGCATTCCAAATAATATGGATATATTGAAAATCTTCAATCTTTTCACGTAATACATTTACATGGATTATCTTTGTAGTAGAAAAACAAAAAAAAAAAAAAACACAAAAAAAACCCCCAAGAGCTAGCGGAATGAAAACTCAGCCTGACCCCTCAGTTGCGTCGAACGATGCACATTGCGGGTTTTACCACCTTGTGGTGTTCGAAAGTTAATATTTTGAGTCTACTAATCTATGGCATTAATTCCCTGCATTCTGAAATCCCCCCCCTAGGGGTGGGTAGGTATTCCTTACTGGTTGAGAACCCTTGGTTTAAGGGACAGATCATATTTCTTCAGCAGTTTCATACATTTTTAAAAAAAAATAACATTGACTTTGTCGGAAATATATTTGTTTAATATGATATTATGTTCGGATATAGAGTTATCTATGTTATTATCGCAGCTATACCTGATTCTAACATTATTTTTGTTAAAAATCTTTTTTTAGTGTTGGTGAAATCTTTTAGTGCAGGTGAATTAAATTTAAGAAAATTCTTCCGATATTAGTGTTGTAACCTATAGAAAGTTACTGAATAGAATAGTCACACGAAGGTTGGTAATGAACGGTAATACTTAGGACAAGAACAACACATATAAGATTCGCCAGCGGCGCGTAGAAAAAGTAGTCAACTGCTAGAAGTGAGTTAAGTGAATTCAACAATGAATCTCCAACTGCAGCATACTTACCAACCGTCCCACGCGGTCAGATATGGCACAAGGCCGAATTTAATATTGGTTATCCGAGACCGTAGGCTCTGCAAAAATTCCCCGTAGACCCTATATAAAACGGGTTTGGGTAGCTGTTTTCCCGAGATGATACGGTATCTAGCCACCCGCCACGAGGGTTGCATGTGGCACAAGGCCGAGTTTATCGTGGGTTTCCCGAGCCCGTAGGCTCGGCCAAAAAATGCCCGTATAACCCGTATAAACGAGATCGGGTTGGTCATTTTCCCCGAACGAGATTCTGCCCTTCGGCGGAACCTCGTCCGGGTTCCTTTCTGCTCAGAGGCAGAGAGTTCGACCGTCAAGTAGAGAAGCTCGGCTTGATTCAAGAGGATACTCTCCCCTTTGACACAGCCTCGTCTGGGGATCCTCTCTGCCTGGAGTCAGAGAGTTTGAGCAGCACAGCTGAAGACAAATCTCCTATAGCAGACTAACATACAGTATTTACTACTGTATTTATCCGAATGGGGACATACCTATTATTGTCTGTAGGTATGCTACAGCAGTTGGTTTGAACATTATAATTAAAAGGTGGATTAAGCCATATGATGTTACGCTTACGGTATTTCTGTTTATTTTTACCTTCTTTGCTTATAAATACTCTAAATTTACTTTACGGTTGCCTTTATATATTTATTTTTATTATTATCAATTATTTCCTTATTGCTGGCGTTGGTAGATAATCTACCTTAAACCGATTAATGTAAATTTTCTAAGATTATGTAGTAGTGGCTTGATTTTTTTGCTGACGTATTTATTGTTACCTTTGGTATATGATTAGTAATAACCATTATTCAAGTCTAAGGTGACATCGAGAAAGTTGATCACTTTAGCATTGGTGGCACTGGTAAATATTAGCTTGTGGCCATTAAAAAAAATTATCAGTTCCTTTCTCAATCTATCTATCTATCTATCTATCTATCTATCTATCTATCTATCTGTATTGCCATACCTCCTCCCCTTCAGTGAACTTTCCGGTAGCAATATCAGGTTGCAGGGCGTTGTCTAATTTAATTTCTCCACCTGATGCTACTTTGAGGTTAAAACCCGGATAATGAATAAGCAAACGTTTTATTCTTTTTATGGTATTAACCTGCTCCATACGTTCAGTTCTGAACGGTGTATTGAGCACTTTTTTAAATATACATGTTTGACCTCAAATTGTTCCTGCCTACTACATATTTAGTATATATATATATATATATATATATATATATATATATATATATATATAATGGACTCTCCCGTCGGTTTCGACGTATGAGGATCTGGCAGCTTATTGATTCAGTTATGAAAGTTTGTGCGATAAACTTAAGTGGCATTTAAGACCCGCTAGTGATTTACAAAGGAGACCACATATGGAGCAAGTGTGAGGATTGTGAGATGAGATCACTGTTAGATTGGCTGACCTTTTACATCTTGCTTTCGCTTCTTGAAGATGATTCAGATAAGCAGATTGAAAATTGCTGAGTCTACTAAAACACGTTGATTTCCATTCTACCCGCTATGTTCGAAATTGAAATATCGGCAAAACCTATTGTAGCTTGTTACGTGTTTCAAAACCTGATATTGATGATTGATTCTTTATGCAATTTTTTTTTCCAGAATTTATTTTTTAAATGCAATAAAATAAACCAGATGTTCTTCACTTTCGCTGGCGATATCGTTAGTTACTATTTTTAAAAAAATGCCATATCCCTTCAGAGCTTAGGCGATCATGTCTCTCCACAGATTTCTTTCGTTAATATATTTGTGAATTGCCATGGCATCTTGGGAGAGATAGCGAAGTTGTTTCCTGTTGCCTTCTCCGTGGCCCTTCTTCGAGATTGACTGCCACCAAGTCGACCCTGTTATTCAACCGATAGCCGCGACAGGGGAAGAAGAGATGGATTCATACTTTTCCCAAGGGCATTTGTGCGAAAATAAACGCAACATATTACGCGGAAACATCCACATCTGCGCCGATAACAGTCACTTATATTTATGATGCTATTGTATTTAAGGTGTATGGAACTATGGTATTTAGGGTTTATGGTATTATCGTATGTTAATGACATTTATGGTCTATGGTATCATGGTACGCTTATGGGACCTGGTCTACGGTAAAATGAGGGTGGGGATGGGAAGATTCTGCTGCGCCAAAAATCAACATGTTAAATCATTTGCCTTTACCTCGATTCGAACACTGACCATTATTGCTACTAGTAGAATATGCAACCAACCAGCAATGGAACGGGTCAGAAGTCGCTCAGCCATATGAAAATCCACAGCGAATGACAGAGAAACAGACAGGAAGCCAGGGAATTCGAATTTCTGACTGAATGAAGGTAAAAACTGCTGATAAATGGTAGACAAAATCAGCTGACAGCCACAAGTGGAATTCGAAATAGTCTTATCTTCCTTACAGTTCGAGACTTGTCTGTGAGCCGCCGTCGATTTTAATGGCCGCCGTCGGTATCTGTCAAAAAAACACTGCCATCGACATTAAAGAAGGAGGCATGCTGATTGATAGTAGAATAAACCGAACAGGAATCACCTGAGAGACAACAGATTTGAACAACGCCATAACTTACAAGGAGTTAACGTAAACATCGTGGAATGCGAATTAGTATTACCCGCCCGACCCCAAGACGAGAATTAAGAAAAGCGAAAAGAGACGCTCAATTTTCTTTTTCACTGAGGATAAAAATAAAAAAAAACAATAAATAAATAAAAAATAAAATAGAAATAACGGGTGGAATGAAAAGAATGCTTTTTCTGAACACGTCCTTCCTTCGATAAGATCTTACTGACAGTGGGACAATTTGTTTGGCGTGAGTGGTTATGGTAGTGGGCAGTCATGTCAGATCGACACTTAAAAAAGGGATTTCCTTTTATCCATCAACCAGACCGAAAAGTAAAAGGAATACGTTGGGCCGGTCAGATGTTTCAAAGAAATTGAGTTAATGATTTCTTTTTTTGTCTATCCGAGAAAGTCACTTCTCAGCATGTAAGTTTGGACATATTTACGTGCTCTAACGACAAATTAGTATATACGGATAGTGTAACGGTTATCGGTGCGGAAAAGTGAATTTAGCGTGCCGAGTTCAATACCCGTTCGATTCTGTTTCATTCATTTCACACTAGTATACTTGGGAAAAGGCATGAATCCGTCTCCCTCCAGCTGTAGGATGATTTGTTTTGTTTTGAAGTGGTAACCAGGGAAAAAAATCTGAATCCAAACCAACCTTAAAATGGATTGGCTTAGTCAGTTTCGCTTGCCCTAGACACATCATTATTGCTATGGTTGCATTACCCATGGTACGCGCACACCCTTAATGGCTTACGGAAGTCGTGAATGATAAGTTACTTATGCGCCAAGGACTTCGTGTTAAACGGATAGACACACACTCATATATATATATATATATATATATATATATATATATATATATATATATATATGCAGGTATGCAGAAAATAGAAAAGAACACGTTG